CATCCCCTCCCCTCGATGAGATTTGCCGCTGAGCCCCGCCCCGTCCCGCCGCCCTTCCCTCGTTGCCCTCACTGCTTTGCGTGTCGCCCGCTCCGCTCGCGGGGATTAAGCCATTCCGCCGGGGTCCGAACGGAACGCTGCTGCGCCCTGCCGCCGCCGGCCTGCTTTGCCACCGCCGCGACCTCCTGCAACTCCTGCAACTCCTCTGCAAGGTACTTCTTAATTACGAAACACGCGGCCCGAAAATGAGCGGTACACGGCATGGCGTGCCTGCGAGTGTGAAGGGCCGCGGGGGCCGACGGCATGCCATCCCAATCACTCAATTACAGCGGTCCAGGTACGGCTTTTAACACATCGGGGTGCACGGCCCTTGGCCCCTTCCCTTCCCGAGGGGGACTAAGTGGTCGTATAAGGAGTTAGCGCCGACGCTCCGCAGCAATTTGTCAGGTGCTAGATGCTGGGTGCCTATTCCAATACAGTACAGAGGGTGGACCGCGAGCGGCCCAGCCCATGGCTCTTCTGCAGTTATGCTGTACCGCGCGGCCCAGATTAGACAAGCAGGGGGGCGAGCGCCGGTTTCGCGGACGCGGCCGAGATAGCGGGCGGGCGACAGCCTTGACGCGCCAGTGTTTGCCCGGCAGCTGCCCGACGAGGGCCGCGACCATCATCTGCTCGTCTTAGTACCGCGCGAACATGGCGCCGGCGAAGCTCGCCCCGACGGTGACCCTCGCCGACGGGCGGGAGATGCCCGTCATCGGACTGGGTACCTACACGGTGAGTGAACGAGCCCCCGCCTGAACGGAACAGGGAGGGTCACCCTGGAAGCGTTCGACCGTCATGCACGTCGTCTCTCGCTAGGCAGCCGGGAGGCCAGTCCGGGGCCAAGGACGAGCACGGCGTCGGGGAGGTCGAGCGGGCCGTGATGGACGCGCTGGACACCGGCTACCGCCACATCGACGCGGCCCTGGTGTACGCCAACGAGGACGAGGTGGGGCGCGGGGTGCGCGCCAAGATAGCGGAGGGCGTGGTCCGCCGGCAGGACTTGTTCATCTGCACTAAGGTCTGCGACAGTCGTGACGCGAGCACGCACTCGCCTAATAAACCTTGGCCTCTGATGAGTTCAGGCGAGTGAAATGACCGCTTCCGGTATAGCTGTGGAACAACGCTCACCGCCCGGACCTGGTGGAGGCGGCGTGCCGACAGTCGCTGGCCAACCTGGGCCTGGACTACGTGGACCTGTACCTCATGCACTGGCCCACGGCCTTCGCGGAGGGCGGTGAACTGGTGCCCAAGGGCCCCGACGGCAAGGTGCTCTTCAGCGACGTCGACATCCTGGACACGTACCGTGCCATGGAAGGCCTCGTCGACAAGGGGCTCGTCCGCTCGCTCGGCGTGTCCAACTTCAACTCCGCGCAGCTGGAGCGGGTGCTGGGCGCGTGCTCAGTGCGGCCGGTGGTTAACCAGGTCGAGTGCCACCCGCTCTTCAGCCAGCGCAAGATGCTGGCGTTGTGCGCCCGGCACGGGGTCCGCGTCGTCGCCTACCGGCCGTTCGGCGGCAAGGCAGACGCACTGCTGGAGGACAAGACCATCGCAGCTGTAGGTGTCAGGCACGGCAAGGCGCCCGGCCAGGTCATCCTGCGCTACTTGGTGAGAGCCCGCTCAATAAGTGCAACGTGCGTCAGACAACAAATATTGATTTGGGACTAACGTAACATGTCTCTCACGTTCAGATCCAGATTGGCGCAAATCCGATACCAAAGTCCGTGACGAAGTCGAGGATACAACAAAATTTCGACATTTTCGACTTTGAACTGACGGAGAAGGATATGGCCATCATGGACGGACTCAACCAAAACCGTCGAGCCTGCCTCCTCCTCGAGTAAGTAGTCGATGTGGTCTCGTGGAACCTTACGCCAAACCATACAGTCGTACCCAACAGAGCGATCCTAATGCAAACTATTGTTTGTTCTCCAGCGCTGCCGCCCATCCCGAATACCCGTTCGCTATCGACTTCTAGTAGAGCTCCGTAATTTGATCACTCGAGCTCTATTTTGTCCTTTGAGTATCTACATGTCGCAGTTGTTTCATAAACGGCAGAGTGTCGAGCGTCGCCTTTATTGTTTTCACCATTAGTCAATATCCTGGTCGGGGCGAAAGCAGTGGGTGTGCGGCCGCGAGGCCGCGAGGTGCGCTCCGATGACGTACGTTATTGGCCGCCAATGTCGCACTCCCGCCTTCGCTACCGGCGGCGCGGGGAGGGTGCCCGCGCCCCGCCCGCCCCGCACACCCGCGCTCGGCTCCTGCGCCCCGCACCCACACCAATGGAATGCACCCGGCAATGTGCGCCAACTATACGCACCACGTTTTACACAATCTGTTGGCAGAGAACGCCGTCGTGATGACCGCCACTGCCGATGCGGCTCTGCTGCGAGGAAACGTGTGCACGGGTAAGGTCCCTCCTGAGGCCACAGACGCAACCCGCGCACTCCCAAGGAGGGAGGGAGGGTGCCGAGTTACCGCGCAGGTGCGAGAAGTACGGAGAAGTCAATAAGCGCACTTCCCCCCCCCTCTATTTTTTTTAGTGCGGTCTGCCCCGCGCCCTGGCTGTTTGAGAGGTGATTAGCAGGAGCCCGGAGGTGGCGTCAGCCGGCGTCATCCGCGGCGGGGCATGGTGGGGCAGGGTACCGGTCAGGGTGAGGCGGAGTATACACGGGACCGTAACCGGCCGGGTGTGGGGGGCCGCCCCCCCTCCCTCCTCACTCCTTTCTCTGCGGCGGCCACGTGGTCGGTGGCGGGCTCCCATTCATCGGCAGCGCGCGCAGCCTCCATGGGCGGGG